TATTCCTTTTTGTGGGTTTTTTCACTGATAGCAATTTGAATTTAAGTTTTTCTGTATGCCAGTAGTTTTTTGCCTTCTAGCTTTACCTAAATTAACAATTTCATAAGTTCGAACTTTCCTTTTGGATTTATTTATCCTCCATTTCGAAATGCACTCCATTGCAATATTTAACTGTAATTTTAATGGCCTGGAAACATTTATGTATGTGTATTATTTAAATGACTTTCAGGGAACTGCAGTGGAAGTTATGAGCTCTTGGCTGGCAAGCGGTCAAGTAGAATTTCTCATGACAACTGAACTGCAATAAATTTAATTTATCCCTTTTTAATATTATTAAGTACTTTTATTTGCTCCCTCAGGAAGTAGTTCAATAAAATTTTATAACCATATGCAAAACGTTTGTAGCGGTATATAAAAAATGTACAAATTTATGTAAGTGGATTTATTTATATGCTGGACTTTAAAGATAGTTATGTAAAAGTAGCTGTTAATAATATTGCATTATTTTATTGCATAAAAAAAGTTTATATGTAAATTGGGGAAGTCAACTTGGTGACTAAAGCTATACTGACCAAAGCTATACTGACCAAAGCTATAGTGACCAAAGGCAATTACAAAAATTAGCAGGTTATATGTTTATATGTAAATCAGTGATGTCAACTTGATAACTAAAGTTATAGTGAACAAAGCTATAGTCACCAAAAGGCAATTACAAATTATATTTGTAAATTGGCACTATTAACTGTGAGGATAGAGAAAGGGGTCTGTATAAGTTGTCTAAAGAGGCATACAAATTATAAAAAATAGTATGTAAGAGAACCACAGTATGTAAGAGAAAAAATATTGGGTATGACTGGTTTTTAGATTTATGTTTATTTATGGGATCTAAATATTATTATATAGATTTCCGAATTTAAAATTTAATATAACACAATAAAAATCACACCTAATTATAAGATTCTAGTGTTAATAGCAATACCCATATGTAAGTAACAATCTATTACCAATAAAAAATAAGTTTGTTACTTTAGCAACTATTGCATCCATGGTGAGATTTGTTTCACGTATAGAATATGTAGTTCTTAAATGTTAACCTAACACTATTTTATTTACTAAGCGTCCTCCGTTTATTTCCTAATGTGAAGCGACGAAAGTTACAACCCACATGTTTTAAGATTGCATTTATCAGTTATTCGCAGAGTTGTTTAAAGAGATACATTGATTTTCTGTGTAAGCTTTATTTATAGAAATACTCTTCAAACATAACATGGTATTTTATTTACCAAGTTGATTGACTTCTGCACTGCAGTGTACTTGTCTACAACTTAAATGTCATTGAATAAATGTCAAATAAAATATTTGCAAACAGAATAAAACATAAGTAAAACTAATACCGTTAAGAAAAAATCTATGCGAATTTTCTGAAACTATTTTCTTTTCAGTTTTCTTTTACTATTTCATCAAGAATGCTTCGAGGAGTTCAATCAATGCTCTCCTTCAAGTGCAACAAACTATGTGCTGCAATGTTTAACTTACAGCACTGCAGTGAAGAAAAGAAAAGTCAATGAACTTTTCATACATTACAAGAAAAGCGCATATGAAAAATTCTATGAAAAATATATGAAACACTTACATGCTTAGTTCGCTATTCATGGAGTTTTCCGTTTCTAGTAAAGCATGCAAGAATATTAAATATTAGAAAGGAAAGGATAGCAAAAGTTTTACTACAGACATAATTTCCGTTTAAAACGGAGAGCGGCAATAGCAATACCAGTGTACATAGTATTTAGTCTGAGTAAATCAATGTGAATTTAAGTGGTACTATAAATTATTAATAGAATTAATTTATAATCAATATTTATGACTGTTATTAAAGCCTCGATGTCGTATAAACCTATTTGCTTAATACCATAATTGATGCTATTCGACTGCATACACATATTCATGACCTCAATAAATTTTCTATATACCTATTCACATATGGTTACTAATTATTAAAAGTGCTATTCATTTATTTCTTATCTATTATTTACATTTATGTAATGTTATAAACATTTCACTTTATTTCACTACAAGTTTACATGAAAACTAATAATAAAAACTGTCATTGAAAACAAACATTTACATTTAATTTAGCCATTTGAGCGATAAGTGTGTTGTACACTGTAAAAAAATTATATATAACATTTTAGAGTGTGTGAAGTTAATCCATATTTATAAAAGAAATTATTTTTTTATCATATGTAATAATAATACGTTTTATGAAACACACTTTGAAATTCAAAGTTGAATATATAAAAATGTGCAACCATGCGTATGAGTAACGTTTAAGAAAAAATTTAATGGTTTTTTGTAAATTGCAATAGCTTTAATCTAAGGGATAATTTAGATAGCTATTAACAATTTAAAAATTTCTAATAATATGATAATAATTTTGAGGACTTAAAACAGTTTTCATCTGATACAATATATAATATTTGGGAAGTATAGCTTAAATTTATTTTTAACATTCCGTTAAAGCTCTTTATTAACATTGAATATTATTGCTTCTTTATTTGAATTTAAAAAAAATTGAAATTGTTTTTATTCCAACAAAGAGATGAACAAAAATGAAATTTAATTAACAATATAATAAATTGTTTAAATATTTTATTAAATCTATAAACATGTTTAAACTTTGGTTTAATTTAAATTTGGTTTTTTGCGTTAACTACAAAACGTTAATAGACTTTCTTTTTACATAACATTACTTTACTTTATTTAACTAAAACAATATATTTATTCACGACGCTACCCATCGAACTTCCGTTATTCTACTTCACTCGATTGTGTCATTCGCTGTCAAACATAGGTTAGGTGACCACCTGTTGTTAAAAATTTTTAGGTGCCCAGTTGTGCGTTTCGGATGTAGGTTAACAGTCGGCCCTTCCTGACGTCAAGCGTCCTCGCGCTCGGAATCAGTTTCTTCTTCGTACGGCAATTGACACCATGGCTTTAGAAGATCAGACGCATAGATTGATTTATAATGTCGTTGTTTTCGATAGGATCCTGGTAGGTCTTCGATGACATAACGGTCATTATCGAGAACTTCGGTGACTACAAACGGTCCTTTATATCGACATTCAAGTTTGCGGGACGTGCCTGTGGATGCTGGTTCTCGTTCTGCTAGAACTAAATCACCTTGCTCATATTTCGTTGGTTTCCTGTGTTTATCGTCAAAACGCTTTTTCGCGCTTACCCGTTTACTATCGGTGTTATTAGCAGCAAGTAATCGTCGGCGGTGAAGTTCTTCTTGGGTGATGGGAATAGTATCGTCTTCATCTTGGAGAATTTGGATCAGCTTGTTACCTAATATGTCGCGTGGCTTGAATCCAAAAAGCAATTCGTTTGGAGATTTTCCCGTCGTTTGGCAAATCAGTGAGTTCAATGTACATTGAATGCTTCGTAGTTGCTCGTCCCAGGTTCGTTCATCTTGTGTTGATGGTTGCAGCATGGATAAAACGGTGCGATTAAATCGTTCGACTTGGCCATTGGCTCGTAGCG